CCACATCAGCCCTGGGAGCAGGAGCTCACCTGGGAACAGGAGCGTGGAATCACCTGGGAGCAGGAAGGTGGGCTCACCTGCACCCCCAGATGGACCTCAGGGATTCTGGATCAGCTCCTGCCACAGCCCTGGAGGGAACTGGTAAATCTCTTTCCTCTCTAGAGAGTGTTAATTCATCTCTTAAGGGAAGTTTCTGCCGTGGGATTAATTAAAGAAAGGCAAACAGGAGTTGTTAAGCTGGTGCCTTGTATTTGGGGAATTAGGGTGCTGTGGGGAGCCTGGAGGAGAAGAAAGCAAAGGGGAGAACACAATAATAACAGGGCTTAATTAGCATTGCCAGGAGTCAGAGCCCAGGACCATTTTCTGGATGATTTGGTGGGATAATACAGCACAAACCTGGAAACCTCTGGGGACAATAACCTCAAACTCAGGATCCTCATAATGTAGGATTTGTGTCAAACCAAAGGCAGAATTTATCAAATGTGTTCTTAGCTTGAAAAGAGAAGCCTGCCTGTAAGTCAGGGAAACTGAGTTTGGAGAAGCAAGGCCCTTCCTGAAGATTCACAAAAGGAAAAATTGATATTTTTGGGGAAAAGGAAAGAATTTGTTCTCATTCTGCCACCACCAAAGTTGTTTTGTTTGGAATCATGGAATTGTTTAGGTCGAGGCTGATTTTTCTCTGGGATTTTTCATCCTGGTGAGAATAAGAGACTCAGTTTAGACATCACTTCTAATTCCACAGCTTAGAACTAGAAAAGGTTGATTAGAAGAGCCTGAATAAAAGACACTGAGCATCCTGGGCTAGCTTTAAAGTCAGCCTGGTTTAAAAGAGGCAGTGGAAATGTCTGATTTCCACCTAAATCCTTCTGAGGTGTGAAAACTGTAGCTTTGCACTCAAACTTTCTCCTGTTCCTGGGTTTCACCCAAACATTTCACAGATGAAAATTCAGCTTTGTTTTGCCTTACAGCAGGAATTATTTGAAGCTTCCAGAGGCAGAGGGATCTGTTCACATCAGGTTTTCAGTGGGGATTGCTCAGATCTTTAGTGAGACTGTGAATTCTGCAGTTGTGACTGGGTTGGTCAGAGTGTAAAACTCCAGAGAGTGTAAAACTCCACAGAGTGTAAAACTCCACTTGTTGACAGCAGGAGGAAGACACAATGCTGGGAATGAGCTGAAACAAATGTGATTAAATGAAGCTTGTGGTGTCACATATTTCTGTGCTGACAAAGTGATTGCTGCAGATCTCACCTGACAGCACCTTTTACCTTTCTTGGAATGCAGAACTTCTGTAACAGGAGAGTTTTTGCACCTTCCACACCCCTCAGCTTGTTGTTTTATGGTGATGATTTCTTCATAGGCTAATTCACTGTTCCATGATCGACCAAGCAGCTTTTTCCTGCTGCTTTGTCACCCCTACAGTGAGATTTAGCAGGAGCTGGCATCCAGCCACCCACCCCAGCAGACAGGGGTGACTTGCTGTGATTTGTGCTGTAAACTTTGAGTGGCACCTCTTTAAATTGTGCTTGTGAATTTATTTGTTTCCTCCTTTCCTAAAGGACTAGGGATTCTTGTAGATAGCAAGCAGCAGAGGGGAGCTGAAACGATTTGAAAAATTAAAAGCAGGGTCATTACCTTGCTGCAAAGACGTTCCCCAAACATCTTTTCCCTGGCCCTGTCATGCTTGGTTTTTTAGTGGCTCAAAGGAAAGTTTTACAGTTCCCAAAGCAGCAATTCTGCAGCCTGGTCTGTCCCCCGAGGAGGAGGAGGAGGAGGAGGAAAGATGAAGCAGGATCTTCCTCTTCTGTACCAGATTGTTTTGCTCTCCTATGGCTGTGCTTGTCCCTGACCTGTTAATTGTCTTTGAGATAGTCAGGTTTGTGCTGATCCTGCTGGGAAATGTTGCAGGGATGTGAGGTCATTGTTTGAACAAGGCAGCTCCTTCCAGAGAAGGACAGGCAGGTGGGTGCTGCTGTCACCTCCTGGTTCTGGGCTTTTAGAATTGTTTGCTTTTTTCCTCAGGGTGGAAAGGTCACAGTGTAGATGTGATTTTTAGATTAATTGGTGCAGCCTCCTGGGGATGGAGCCCTTGTTGTGCCCTGGTGGGTGTCCCTGCTCTCTGCTGTCCTGGCTGGTTGGATGGGCAGTCACAGCACTTTGTGTCACCTTTGTGTCACCTTTGTGTCACCTTTGTGTCACCTTTGTGTCACCTTTGTGTCACCTTTGTGTCACCTTTGTGTCACCTTTGTGTGCCCCCTGTGATGTCAGAGCTGTCCCCACACCTGCCCTGCCATCCTGTGCAAGAGGAGCCACTCAGCTTGGTGGTGATTCTGGCAAGAAACCCAACAGTTCAGAATTTAATCACTGTATGTTTTTTATAAAAACATCTGCTCCCAGGTCCTGAGCGTGCTGGGGCTTGGTGAGAGCCAGGAGGGAATTTGGGGATTTGACATCTGCTCTCAGCCTGCAGTGCTCACCCCTTTCTCTGCAGGGTTCTGCTGACTTGGTGGACGAGGAAATAAAATTTCACTGAGAGCCAAAAGAACCGAGAGTCTCAGCTCACTCTGCTTTGCCATCTAAACACAAACCAGATTCTGGGGCTTTTGGAATTCGAAGCTTGGTGCATTGGGAGGGGGGTGGAGGCTCAGGTGTCTGAGAATGCCCAGGTGTGGTGCTGGCAGTGGGTCCTGGCAGGAGCCAGGGGCTCCTCCTGTGCAGAGCCTTTGCCCTCAGGTGTTGCACAAGAGGCCCTTGGGCAATCACTCACCTGCTCCCGGGGCTGTGGGGACAGGGGACAGTTCCTTGTCCTCAGGGTTGTCTTCTCACACGTTCCTGTGCTTCCAGGAGCTGAGGGCTGCAGGAGTGCTGGATAACCCCATTGCCCAGGCTGGACCAGCAAAGTCCATTGCCTTCAGCACAGGTGAGTGCTGGTGCCTCTGCCCTTCGTGTTCCCAGGGAATTCTCCTTCTGTGCAGTGAGGACACCAACACTTCAACCAGGTTTGTATCTTAAACCATTCAGCATTTGGAAACATTTGATTGTTCCACTGTCTTAATGGTGGTGTGGGAGACTTGGGAGCTCCTTGAGATAAATACAGATCACAGACAAGTCAGCTGGGTTTATTTTGTTAATATTGGTGATTTTTAGAGGCCCTAACCAAGATTTGGGGGTAAGGGACAGGATAATTGTTGATTTATCAGTTTGAGCCTCTTCTCCCCTTGAAAGCTTTTCCTTCAGCACTGCTGCAGTTCCTCCCCTGACTCTTTGTTTGTCCCCAGACTCTGTGAATGAGAAGAGAGGAGGATTTCACCTTCTGCCCCAGCTTTCCCCCTGTGTGGTGCCAGCTGTGAGTGTTTCTTTGGCAGTGTCTTAGCTGGTTGTTGTGAGCAATAGTCGAGGAAGCAATCAGCAAGTATACTGCCCTAGAAGTGCTGCACATTGTTGGGCTTTGCTCAGCCCTGCCCTCGGGGATGGTGCCAGGCTGGGATGCTGCCCAGGGCATCCCTGTGGAGCTGGAGCTGAGTCAGGAGTGCCACGGATGTCACTGCACCAGAGAGGAGAGCAAGGACAAGAGAAGATGAGCACGCTGCTGCAAGTTCTGTTCTTTCTTTGTCCTCCCCACGTTCCTCTGGAGGGCTCTCTTGCACCCTTTCCCTGTAGCAGAGTTGTCTTTTGCTGCCTTGCACTTTTCCTGGTCACTTGTGTGAGGCAGCTCTCAGGGAAGCTGATGTTCATCGTGGCTCTCACTATCAGCTTTTCTGTCTCACCTGTGCTAAAACCACAGGTGTGGGCAGCCCTTTCCCTTGCACAGTTGGATTTGCTGCAAAAGCTACACCCCAAAAATCCTACCACCACCATTTGGCCTTATTTTCCAGCTACTAAACAGAAGAGGTACAGTCCATCCCTTGCTATAGGAGGTAATGAGAATATTAGAAAAACATCATGGAAAGATTCCACAGAGATCACTGCAGAAGCAGCCTCCTGGATTCTGTGCAAATGTCCTTTCCCAAAGTGCCTCCCCTCCCTCCATGCTGGAGTCTGAGCTGCTGGGTCTTTTGATCAGGTCTTAAATGTAATTTCTGCTGTTTGTTGGTGGCATGCTCTGTTTCATTGTGGAATGTACAATGTTAATATCTTTATTTTTCTCCACACAGCCGCAGCATGAAGGAATATCCCATATTAATCCCCTAATTCAAATTTGAAATTAATAACTATCACAACACTTGGAGCATCCTTTAATCCATTGATTGCTGCTGGCTTGGTTCCAGCAGTGTCACTAATTACATTCTGCCTGCAAAAAAATTCTCATTGCTCAGAGGCTTTTTTTTCTTTTTTTTTTTTTTGAGAGCTGCTGGCTGGAATTCTTGTGCTATCTCTGCAGCCTGAGACACTTTTTAATGCTAATGGAACTGTTTAAAATGACTGAGCATCTCTGCTTGCTGGAAGAAAAGCCCTTGGGCTTGCTGAGGGTGTGCTCTGGGTGGGTTTTGTGTGTAGGGGACAAACTCTGTGCTCTGGGGTGCCTGGGATGGGGCAGCAGGGATCAGTCCCAGCCCCATCCAGGAGCTTTTTCCAGGGTTTTGTTTGCCTTGGGGCTGTTCCTCCATCCCCACCCTGAGCCAACAGCTGAAGTTTGTTACTCCAGGAGCTGCCTCTTGTGTTGGTCTGGTTAAAGGGGATTTCCACAGGACTGGGAATAAATTAAAACTAGCTTTAATTCAACTTGTTTTCACTTAGCCTATCCAGAGGACGTGGGATAAACTAGAATTAGCTTTAATTCCCTCATTGTCAGTAGCTGTCATGACATGAGGGCACTTTGGGGGGTTCTGCCCGCACATCTGGCTCCTGGAGGGGGGTGGCACATCTGGCTCCTGGAGGGGGGTGGCACATCTGGCTCCTGGAGGGGGTGGCACATCTGGCTCCTGGAGGGGGTGGCACATCTGGCTCCTGGAGGGGGTGGCACATCTGGCTCCTGGAGGGGGTGGCAGCTGGTGGAACTCGGGGTGGGTGGGATGTCTGCTCCTCTTTCCCTGCCTGCCTTGTTGCTCGTTTTACTTGGTGGATATGTTGGGAATTTATTTCCTTGTGGGTTTTTCACCTGAGTCCTCTGGATCTCCTTGAAGAAAGGTGTCTGGAGGGGGGCAGCTGCTGAGAGATGGCTCTGAAGGCTCTGAGTGATCGTTCTGGAAGTTTCTGAGCAGCCCTGGGTGTCTCTCAGCAGTGCTGTATCAAAAGCTGTCAGTGTTGGTGTCTGTGCAAAATGGAAGAGAAGGAGTTAATGAAATCAAGGATTAAGTCCTTAATCTGTGCCAGGAGTGCAAGAAATGTAGATTTTTTTTTTTTTGTCACATGCTAGAGAAAGCCACAAAGGACAAGCATGAGGATTTTCAGCTCTCTCAGAAGCCTCCTCTGACCACGCTCCCCTGGGTTCCTTTTCAGCTGATGCAGTGACCCCAAGGATCAGGGGATGAATTAGAAAAATGCTCCCATTCTCCTGGAAATGAAGAGCTCAGGTGCTGGTAAAACTCTTGGCTGGCTTTTTTCCTAAATCGTGTTACAATTCTGGAGTCAGGTTTGCTCACTCCTGGCTGGGGTCTCACACCCACCCAGGCTGTGCTGAGGGTCTGTGCCAGGGCAGGTTGTGTTTAATTCTGGATTTCTCTGAGCAGGGTGGGAGCTGTGTGTGTTAATTGCTCTCAGGCCGAGCCCTGAGCAGCTAATGAGTGTAAGAATTGTTCTGGCTTCTGCATGGTGGTTTGAGAGCTCAGACATTAAAGGGTTCTGGTTATTGCAGAACTCATCTGCTTTTTAACTTCTTTTTTATGGGTTCCATGAAACTGGACTCAACTTCTTTTCCAGGCTCCTGCCTGAAAGTCCCGTCTGAGCTGTGGGGGTGATGCAGGTACAGGAAAAGGTGACCAAGGTTGGAGGCACCTGCTCAGTCAGGGCAGCAGGGATGGGAGAACAATCCCCGAGCCTGAACCAGCAGTGACCTCTTGTGGGTGCTGGGGACACTGGGGACGCTGCACTGGGACTCATGGGGTGTTTGTTATTCCATCTGTGGCCTCAGAGTGGGAAGGGCAGCTCGGGTTCTCCTGGCTCAGCTGTGAATGGTGCAGAGCTCTCCTTGCTCACAGTCTGTGTCCCTGGGCTGTGGGACAGGCTCTGGGTGGCTCAGGAGGGGACCAGGCTCTCCCAGAGCTGGGCTTGGGGCGTTCAGGGGAGTCAGAGCCAGAGCAGAACTTCTGCTGGTGTGCTTTCCCAGGGAGTGTCTGCATCTCTGATCAAAGTCTCAGCGATGTGGCACCGAATCCAGGAGAGCAGCAGGCACGGTGGAGGCTCTGTGTGTGACATGCAGAGGTGCTGTGGGGTCTCAGCTCATAATCATCACTTAAAAGCCCCAAGGCCTCTGACCAGGCTCCCAGTTAATGGAGAGCTGTGCCTCAGCCCAGCTTCCTAGCCAGCTGCAAAGGCAAAGGAAAAACTTCTTGTTGAAGCCATTAAAAAAATAAATTAAAAGGTTACATCGCTACGTTCTGTCTCACAGTGGAGGTAAATTTATGTAGTTACAGCTCACCCAGTGCTTTGTAAGATGCAGAGTGCAGCCTGTGTGTCAGAAAGCTCTTTTAGTAGTTGGTGGGGTGAATTCCAGTCATTAAAAAAGGTTTTTCTGTGTCTTTTCACAAAATACCATGTTGCTTTATCTCCCTGTGCTGTAAAAAGCATCTGAAGGTGCAAACCTGAAAGGAGAATTTTCATTGTGTGCGTTGCTGTATGACAAATGACTTCCTTAGATTTTGATTCCTGAGCTACAGACAATGGTGCCTTTGAATTGAGATGTGTCTTTGGGCAGTTTCCAAATATTTCTGTTCTCTGGGCATCTGCAGATTCCTTGGGGCTGGAGCAGGAATGTGTGTTCAGGCTGCTCCCCCGGCCTGAGTGAGGAGGTGACAACATCAGGTGACAGGAATGCCACAGAGATGCTGAGTGCACGTGGAGCTGCAGAGAATGGAAGGTGATGGGAATCTTCAGTAAGAATTATTTGCCTTTGGTTGCTCAGTTTTGAAGCACAAACTCTGAGCGTGCCCCTGCTGTTGAGTGGTGACTTCTGTGTGCAAACTTTCCGTCCTATTTTAGAAAACAGAGAGAGACCCAGCAGAAAATCCCTGCCTGTCCTATTTCAGATTGTTACGGCAAAGGTGCATTTCTCCATTTTTGATTTCCACAATTTTATGATGACCTGACAAGCCATTTTATTTCTTTAGAACTGAGGAGAAAGGAATATCTGAATCACAGCCACAAGTCATTGAAAATGCAAGTTCTGGATTTATCTTGATTCTCTATCTGGCAAGACTTAATTAAGCTGTGTTGTGGAGCCACATCCATCACCCAAAATAAAAGCAGCACTCACCGAGGCAGGGTGTTTGCTGCCATGGTTTGTCTGGATGTCTGTCATAGGTGGGGCTTGTGCCATAAAAGTGGGGAAAAGGGAAACCAGAGAACAAGGAGGGAGGAGAGAATGTGCAACAACTGGGAATGCAGCCTTGACAAAGCTTTGTCTCGTGGGGTGTTTTTGAGGGGTCAGATGGTAGCTAAAGAAAGCCTGCAATAATGATCAAGTTAAAGAAGCTATTGGTGTCAGATTGTGTGCAGGGGAAATGCAAGTTGCTGCGGGTTCCTTTTTCTATGAGGAACATACAGAAGGCATCACGCTCCAAAAATAAATTCCTGGGAAAGTAAAGCCTGCTTGACTGGAGTTTAACTGAGTGGCAGTTGAGGTACGTGGAAAGAAGATCTCGTTTCCAAAGGAAGCAGCTCGTGTTTAAATCAGTGCAGGAATCCCGGAGCTGTGGGCCAGCAGGGGAGGGGAGATGTGCGCTGTCCTTGGGGAAGGAGGTGTCGATAGCCGAGGGATGGAGACCACGGAGACCCAGGCGTTTGTTCCTGGGCTCCCTGCTGCTCCCGGCGGCCAGGGCGGGGTTTTCATTGAAAGGAAAAAACAAGAAAGAAAGAAAAAAAATTATTTTCTGGGCTGTGGGGCCGCGGTGGGCGCGATCCGTGCGCCCCGGCGGGAGCGAATTCGGTCCTCGTCCCTGTCCCTGTCCCAGTCCTGGTGCCGCTCCCTGTCTCGGTGCCGGTCCCTTGTCCCGGTCCTGATCCCTGTCCCGGTCCTGATCCCTGTCCCGATCCCGGTCCCTGTCCCTGTCCCGGTGCCCGCGGGTTTCCCCGGAGCGGGGCAGGGGGGCCGGGCCGGTCTCACATGACGGCGGGGGCGGGACGGGCCCCGCCGCTCCCGGGGCTGCTCCTGCGGCTCCTGCGCCGCGTCCCGGCCGGTGCCGGCTCCGGTCACTGCGGCCACAGCGGCTCCGGTCACTGCGGACAGAGCGCGCCCGTCCCGCGGGGCTGCATCGCGCTGTCCTCTCGTTCCATCCCCCCTGTCCCTCGCTGCTGTGTCCCCTCTCTGGCTCCTCGTTCCGTCCCGCTGTCCCCTCCCCGCTGTCCCCTGTCTGTACCCCCCGTCCCCTGCTGCACCCTGCTCTGTCCCCTCCCTGTCCCCTCTCTGTCCCGCTGTCCCTTCTCTGTCTCTCTGTCTGTCTCTCTGTCCCGTTGTCCTGTCCCTGTCCTCTCTCTCTCTCTCTCTCTGTCCCCGCTGTCCCTTCTCTGTCTCTCTGTCTGTCTCTCTGTCCCGTTGTCCTGTCCCTGTCCTCTCTCTCTCTCTCTGTCCCCGCTGTCCCCTCTCTGTCTCTCTGTCCCGCTGTCCTGTCCCTGTCCCCTCTCTGTCTCTCTGTCCCCTCCCTGTCCTCTCTCTGTCCCTGCTGTCCCCGCTCTGTCTCGCTGTCCCCCCGCTGTCCCCCCGCTGTCCCCTCTCTGTCCCCTCTCTCTGTCTCGCTGTCCCCGCTGTCCCCTCTGTGTCCCCGCTGTCCCCGGGCCATGCCGTCCCCGCTGCCGCCCACGCCGCTGTTCGCCGCGGAGCGCGGGGCGGTTCTGGTGTCGTGCTCGGTGTCGTTTCTGGGCTCGGCTCTGCTGCTCTGCTCCCACGCGCAGTGGCCGGAGCTGCGGACGCGCCCGCGGCAGCTGCTGCTCCATCTGTCCCTGGCGGATCTGCTCTCGGCTCTCTCCTACTTCTACGGCGTCCTGCGGGACTTCCAGCGCTCCTCGTGGGACTGCGTGCTGCAGGGAGCCCTGTCCACCTTCGCCAACACCAGCTCCTTCTTCTGGACCATGGCCATCGCCCTCTACCTGTACCTCAGCATCGTCAGGGGCTCGCCCACGGGCCCGGGCTTGCTCTGGGGCTTCCACGCCGTGAGGTGGGTGCTGTGTGACCCCCGGCACCGCCGCCCTGCCGTGCTCTGCTCGGGATGGAGCCTCGGCTGTTGCTTCAGTCTCTGCGCTTCTCTTCTCCCCCTGAAATCCCTTCTAAACAGGGACTTTGCTGTCTTTTGACCAACCCACCCTGCTCGTTTCCCCTTTCCCTTCCCAAGTGAAGAGTTGGAGACGTGGAAAAGTTTTTTGTTTGTTCAAGGTCACTTGGAAGAATCTCTGGCGAGTTCTAATGACTGAAAATCCTGGCTTCTGCTTTCCCTCCAGTCTGCTCTGCTGCTCTAGAAATAATCTGACACACCTTGTGTCCGTGGTACCTGCCTGCTGCTGCCCAAGCTTCCGTGTTTGGGATCTGTTTCCATGGGTCCCCAACTTCCACCTGTGAGCCTGGGCTGTGGATCCGTCCCCTCTGCCCAGGCAGGTTGCTGTAATTCCACACTCACAGGAGAATGTTGTCCACAAGTGATGAAACTGCTAGAGAAGCACTCTGAAGGTTGCTTTGGCGTGTTTGATTGAAAGCAAGACAAACCAGACCACAGTGTGGCTTTATGTCTCAGTTTCTGCTATTTAGGGCACTGATTTTCCACATCATGTTTAGTAAAAGCTTTCATTATGCAATTGGACCTTGTGGAATCATGTGCTGAGCAAAAGAGTGATCCTTTAGTGCCCCGTGTTGCCAAGCTTTTGCAATAAATTATAAGAGGAGTGATCTGGTTTAAAAGGGGGGAAAAAAGTCCCCTCAGGACAAGCAGAAATTTTTCTTTGATTTCTTAGTCAAGTATTTGTCACCTTTTAGTTCCAAACAGCGTCGTTTGGCAGACGATTGCAGTGGAGCTGAGTCCAGGTGAGGATGGGCCAGGGAGAGACTTTGAGCAGGGAGGAATTTCAGCTCCTGCCCTGCCTGCTGCAATTCCTGCTGGCAGCAGGGGCTGTGTGAGGAGCTGAGGGGCTGCACATGGCCCTGGGCACAGCACAGAAGATGCACTGGAGGAGAATTTGTGTTATTTCACCTCCAGTAAATAGAGAGTGGCACTCTGAGAGCTGTGGTGAGGACAGGGTGCTGGTAAAGAGCCACATGCTGCTTAATGGATATAAAAAACAGGTCTGGCTCCTCCGTGGGCTTCTGGCTCCATCAGAGACATCAAAGAGCTCAGGCAAATCTGGCCTATTTGTAATTTTCCCGTCTGCTAATTGCTTGTGTGGCTTTTGTCTGTGCTTCAGTTTCTCCATCTGCTTTAGTGCTCCTCAGCCTTGTCAGCTACCAAGTGTGGAGAGAAACAGAGACACTGCAACAGCGCTGGCTGCAATCTGTGCACTCTCTAAAAACTGTGAAAATCCTGGGAGATTCCTCTAACCCGTGCCACAGAGGGAGAGATGCTCAAACTGAGCTGCTTCTGCCTGAATTTGTTCGGTTTATTTTCAGTTCTTTACAATAAAAATGAAAATCCACCTTCAGTCCTTGGTACTGAGCAGCACCATTTGCTCTTTTTAAAGGCTGTTGAGCACCTGAGGTCAGGTTCTGCTTTGTAAATGCCTCCTGTAAAGCTGCTTCTGCTTCATGATCTGTCTGAAAAGCCAGAGAAAACAAGTGAGGACGTGTTCTCTGCCCATCCCCTCTGACACATCACCCTGCTTTCCTTCCCTGCACTTGGGGAGTTACCTGAGAAATAAAATCCTGGCCATAATGCTTGGAGATGGAGCTCATTAAGTCTATGTTGGGAGTCAGAACCCAGAATTTTCCTGAGGGAAATCAGGATGTCACAGAGGATCAGACCTGTCAGACAGGTTTGTGCCACAGGGATTCCTGTGGTAACACATCCACCAATTCCAGGCTGGAGAGCTGCAGCCTCTGCTTTGCTTTTAAACTTGTTGAGCTCAGAGGAGCTTTGAAAACAAGGCTGCAGTCAGCTTTGGGAACACTTACATAGCTGTAAAATGTGAGTTCTGGCATGAGCAGGCTGCCTCACTGCATGTCCAGTGTCAGGTGTCATCTGCTGGGAAAACATCACCTTGGTTGGGAGAGGAGCTGGTCCAGACTGGGGGTGAGGAATGGACCAGACAGGCAGAGCCCACCTTGGGATTGTTTCCTGCTTGGCTTTTGGTACCAATTGCTGACAACATTGGGAGGGTTTTTATTTTTTGATCAGGCTCTGCAGATCATTATAACCACAAATATTCTTACTTTTAAAAAAATCTGTAACATATGCCTGCTTATATATTAAAACATATGTATGTTTTTATATCATGTATATAATTTGTACACACATTTATAACCGTGCATGTATATTCATGTCCATGGAATATATATGGGGTCCTTCCATGCCCTACTGCCCTGTTCATCTCACTCCTTCCTGGGCTGCCTCCTGCATGGTGGAATTGGGGCAGATTTGGAGTTCTGGTTACAGGGTGTGCTCAGAGCTCCTTCCTGCAACTGCCTGGGATATCCTGATTTTTCTTCCCCTCCTTACAGACACAATTCCTGTCCCCAGAAGGAGCTGCCTGTGGCAGGATGGCTCCTTGTCTAACCTGTGCAGGCAGGTGACAGCAAATCACCTGCTTGTGAGAGCCTCCAGGGGGGAAAAAGCAGCTGTGCATAATAAATCCAAATGTGCTTATTGAGCAATGTGACCCCAGAAAATCAGGGCAGGGTGAGCTGAGCACGGCTGGAGCTGAAGGGGCCTCCCCTTGCCTTGTTCTGGTGTGACTGTGCAAAGATCTGCTGGGTTGGGTGAGTTTTGTATTCCCAGATTACCAGGGCAGCATTGCAGGAATGAGTCCTGTCTGACAGGTTGGATTTCCAGCCTTTTCACAGGAAGTTTTTCACCTTCCCTTCTCTCCCAGACTTTGCATCCAAGGGTGCTTTGGGGAGGCCCAGCCTCCATAATTGCTCTGTGGGGCTCAGAGGAATATTTCTGTTCTCTTGGGTCCTTTTCATCCCAGTCCTTGCACACCTTGGGTGAGGAGTCCTGGTTCTTCAGTTCTCCCTTCTCCTAGTTCAGCTTTGGCATTTGGCAGCCCTCCTGAATCTGTCACTTAGGAGTTCTCAAGAACAGACAAATCACCAGTCTCAGTTCTCCTTTCCAGCCTGCTGAAACGGAGCTGAAGTTCACAGAAATGTTTGATTCCTTCCGAGGTCCTTTCTGATTTCACTGTGTTGGTAATCCTTGTGCTTGGTGTTAGTGTAAACACCCCTGTGATCCCAGAATGCTATTCCAGTGAAAATTAACATTCCTCTTAATGCAGAGTTTTACTCTTCCTTTCACCAGTTACCTCCTGGAGGGTTTTAGGTCCCTTTCTTGGTGGTTATTTCCTCTCTGTGTCTGTGCTTACCCTGTCCTGCCTTACATCCACACACCATAATTTTACCTGGTTTTATCTTAATTCTCTTTCAGCTCTCTGATGGCATCATTATTTAGGCAAATCACTTTCTTAATTCACTCCCTTTTTGTTGGTGCCTTTGTCCTTTAGGTGGTTTCTCCAAGGAAGTGCCATTTCTCTCGAATTCTTTACTTAGTGCTCAGCTCTGCCAGCAGGGCTGAGCATGGAAGCTCTTTGCATTTGCAGATGTTTTCTAAGAAATCTCCAGTTTTACAAAAGTGATCCTGAATTGTGTGGAAACTTTCATGGTGGTGGTGACGTTTGGGATGTTTTTAGAAGTGTGCTCTGATAACAGAGTGGGGAAGGCTTCCTGCAGCACAACTGTCCTTAAATAACAGCACTGGCTTGGATTAGCACTGCCTGTTCTGAGCTGAACCCTGAGACAAAATGTTCTAAATGGGCTGAAGGGTTGACTTGACATTTTTTTACAGCCTTATATTTATGATTTACCATATTTATAAATTACTATAGTTATATTTATAATTTACTATATTTATATTTATACTTATATTTATTTATTTTGTGAGTAGGTGAATCCAGACATTATTTAGGAGTAGGAAATGGGGTATTTTTGAAATCTAATATCATGGGATTATCTACAGCTAGGGTGTGGAGTTTCAGATAATCTGGTCAAGGCAACTGCTGTTTGCCTGCCTAGTCTGGTGTCTGATTTTTGGGGGCAGGATCCTTTCCATGCTCCCTGCAGCTGCTCCAGGCTGTCAGTGGAAGGCAATGAGAGCAAAACCATCGTGGATTTGTTTTCTCTGCACCTGGGGGGAACAGGAGGGTCCCTGTCCCCCCTCCAGGTGACACATTCAGCTGCAGCTGGGCACTGCTGTGCTGTCATTTTTGTTTGGGCTGCTGGGATTTTTCTCTTCTTCCTCATGGTTTCTTGTGGGCAGCCCAAGCTGCTGAGTGACTTAATTCAAATGTGTCACCACAGTTGTTTTTCTTCTAAATGCTTCCCTGTATTTGCCTCTGCTGCCAAGTGAGAAACCAAAGTCACAGGTCCAAGTGATGTGAATGTGGCTCCTCTTTGCTTTCTTAGCTTTTTGCTGTTGCTACTTTACCCTGGCTCTTTGTCCTTCAGAAATTATATTTTTGCTCCCCAAATACCGACTGCACCTCCACTTAAACCACTGGCAGAATGAAGTTGTGGATTCCTTCGTGTGCAGAGTTTCTCTTTGGAATCACAAGGGGGGACTTGGTTGCTTGAGCTCTGAAAGCTCAGGATCAGCTGGCAGGAAAATCCCATTTTACAGTGGCCTTGTCAAATCCTCAGCCTGCCGGTGTCCAGCAGGGATGGGGCTGGGATGGACCCTGGGTGTGTGTGCAGGGCAGCTCAGAGTGCAGCACATCCCTGCCCTGCCCCTCTGCCCCCAGAGCTGGGGCTCCCAGGAGGGGCATTTGCACACCCCAGGACGGGGATTTGCACACCCCAGGAGGGGGATTTGCACACCCCAGGAGGGGGATTTGCACACCCCAGGACGGGGATTTGCAGTCCTGGCTCATTCACTGCCCACTTCACCTCTTGGCCACTTCCCTCACCTGGAGCCTGGGACAAGCACTGGGCTCCAGCCTGGGGGGACCCCTGGCTCTGCCCCCATTTGCTGAGGGGTGGGGGGCTCAGCTGAGGCTGTTCTTGGTTTGACCCCGTTCTCTGTGTCCCCCTCCCCAGCTGGGGTGTCCCCCTGGCCATCACGGTGGCCGCTGTGGCTCTGAAGAAGATTGGCTACGATGCCTCCAATGTTTCCGTGGGCTGGTGCTGGGTGGACCTGGACGCTGAGGATCGGCTGCTGTGGATGCTGCTGACAGGGAAGGTCTGGGAGATCCTGGCCTATGTCACCCTGCCAGTGCTCTACATCCTCATCAGGAAGCACATTAACAGAGCAGTAAGTATTTTTCTGATATTCCACCCCCCCCCCAGTTCCATTCCTGTTTGAGGAGCTGCAGGACACTGGGATGTCCCCAGCCCTGATCCAGCAGCACCATCACACAGTGACAGCACAGGCAGGGTGTAAAAGCCCTTTGGAAACCAGCAGGGGCTGTGGGATGTTCATGAGGGAAAATGCTACAATAAGAATTGAAACAGAATGTGAAGGACAAATTCAGCTTTAATCAGTTTCCTGCAGTTCCACTTGTACCAAGATTGGAATTCTCAGTCCTTTTGGTGTGTGCAATGATTGTTTGTGTTTCTGAATGTTCTTTTTTTACTGGCAGCTCAGAGCTCCATTTGGGAGTCCAGGCCCTGGATGGCTTTGGGCACCATACAGGGACCCCCTGTCCTGGCAGGGCTCTGGAATTCAGAGCTCCAGTTGTGGCTGCTCCTTGTGAGCACACAGGATCCAGCATCTAGGACAGCATTTGCATAACACACAAATCCAGATGAGAGTGGAGGAAGGAGCTGCGTGCAGAGATTCCTTTTCTCTGAGCTGTATTAGGGAAAAAATGCCCCACGTGTGGGTAGATGTCCTTCTGGAAATTTCTGCCCCTCCCTGTGGTGGTGGTGGGGATAAACACGGCCCTGGGTAGGGCAGGGTCCTGCAGGTGATTTGAAGAACGAGGGAATTTTCAGTGTCCTGGGAAGGGAAGGGGAGCTGGGCAGGGTTTGCTGGTGCCCATCAGCATCACCAGGCAGGACACAGCGTCCCAGCCACGGGCACAGACAGCAGTGTGACCTCCTGGAAACCCAACCGGCCCTGCCAGACATTCCTGGGCACGCTGCTGTCCCTCCCCAGTCCTGGGAGCAGAGCTGAGGGCAGCCCTGGGGCTCTGAGCCTCCTGCACTGATGTCACTGCTCCCAAAGGCAGAGTGGCTGCTGCTCCTCACCGTGCCCTGCTCCCCCCCGGCAGGACTCGGGGACTGGGAGCTCTGGGGAGAAGCTCTGGGGCTGCCCCGTCTCTGGATTTTTGTCCCAGTCTCAGGATTGTCCCTGTCCCTGTCTCAGGATTTTTGTCCCTGTCTCAGGATTTTTGTCCCAGTCTCAGGATTGTCCCAGTCTCAGGATTGTCCCTGTCTCAGGATTTTTGTCCCAGTCTCAGGATTGTCCCTGTCTCAGGATTTTCCCAGTCTCAGGCTTGTCCCTGTCCCTGTCTCAGGATTTTTGTCCCAGTCTCAGGATTGTCCCTGTCCCTCCTGCAGCACGCTGCCCTCTCCGAGTATCGCCCCATCCTGCCCGGAGCCCCTGCCCTGCCCCGCGCCAGCGTCGCAGACAAGAAACTCATCCTCATCCCCATCATCTTCATCTTCCTCCGCATCTGGAGCACGGTGCGCTTCATCCTCACCCTCTGCAACTCCCCGGCCGTGCAGAACTCCGTCCTGGTTGTCCTGCACGTGAGTGTTGGCTGGGAAATGCATCCGAGGGGGCAGAGGAGGCTTTGGGGCTCCCAGAATCACTTTTGTGGGGGGAGTGCTGCAGGTGAGCCCAGCCTGGCGTGCCCGGGCAGCACAGGTGCTGCAGCCGTGACAGAAATGCAGCAGGAGCTGCAGCAGCATCTAGTGGCTGCGCAGGAAAGATGCTCTGGAATGCAGGGGAAAGATTTTTTTGGGGGAAAAAAAAAAGCTCATTTTTCTGAATTGCTGTTTCTCTGTGGTTACCGCGCTGCAAAGAGAAAGGACAGCAACATACACGGAGCTCTTTTGGGGAAAAAAGGCCAATTTATTGTGCAGACAGTTTGTATTTAAAGTGTGTTAGTGCAGCCAGGACAGGACAGGAGCTCATGGGACAATTGGGAAAAACATCCTTGGGACAGCACCTCAGGATGTGTCCCACGGGACAGACACCAGGGGTTAATGTTGGTGATGAATTCCACTCTGTTTGTCACCGTGTTGTCACCCTGGGAGACTCCTCCCTAACTGAAGCTGCAGTCAGCTTGTCAGCCTGGGAATGGAGCTGAGAGTCAGGAGAAATCCAGGCCTGGAAGGAATTCCCAAGCTGGAATTCCCCAGCTCTCTAATGTGTGTGCCCACATGTCTCCAAGCCGACGAGTGTCAGTTGTGACACTGTTTGCTCTTCCCGGGGGCGCCTGTGGGAGCTGCCCTGGGTGATTCCTGTCCTGCCTTTGCAGGGAATTGGGAACACGTTCCAAGGAGGAGCCAACTGCATCATGTTCGTGCTGTGCACACGGGTGGTGAGGGCCAGGCTGCTCTCCCTGCTCTGCTGTGGCCACTGTGCCGAGCTGGGCTGGCCCCCGCAGGGCTCCCGGGGCTCCTGGCAGCCCCCACAGCCCCACAAGGACAAGGACGTGCCTGGCCCTGAGCAGACCAAGCCGCTGCTGCCCAGCACCTGAGCTGCCCCTGGCTGCTGCTGATTCCTTCTCTCATGGTAAAATCCTTGAGTTTTTCTTTTTTTTCCTGCTGGCCTG